ATTGGCAGAAATGAAAGCGGATAGATTTAAGATCTGTGGTGGCAGCCTGATGTGGGTGGGCTTTGGTATGATGGTTTTGCGATTGTAACGATTTCTGGTTAAGTTGGGCAGTGGCGGCGGCTAGGTTTGTGTTGTCAGTGACTGAGACGGAGCTAGGGGTAGTGGCGACGGCTAGAGATGCTCGACGATTGCGTCGGATCCAGGGTTGGGTGGTGGCTGTGGCGGCTAGGGCTAGGTCAGGTTTGAGATTATTACGGAGATAAGTCAGGGTCGTGAGGAAGGGGGCTTGGGGGAGCGGAGTGCAATTGGAGAAGGGGGTGCAGGGAGGTGTTTGGGTTATTGTAACTGGCGGCATAGACGGGTCACTGGCGAACTGGACACTGGCGAACTGGTCACGGGCGGTGGTGGTCTGGTTAGTGACTTACTAGCGGCGGTAGGGACTAGTCACTAGCGACGGTGGTGGAATTATCACTGGTGCCAGTAGCGGATTGGTCACTGGCGGCAGGGTGGACTTGTCATTGGCAACGGTAGCGGATTGGTCATTGGCCATGGACGGTGGTGGCGGACTGGCACTTGAGGCGGTAGGGATAAGTCATTGGGGGGACAAGTCAATGGCGGCTGCAGGGTTGGTCACGGTGGTAGCGAGGACAGGTCATTGGCAGCGGCGGGGCTGGTCACGGGTAGTGGGGACGGGTCACAATGGCGACGTGGGACTGATCACTATGGGTTGCGGTTGTCACTGAGCCATTGGTCATGGTGATGTTGGTCACTAATGGGGGTCACTAAGAGCATCTCCAATGGTTGCTTCCAGGGACTTGCTTGCAATTTTGATGCTACTAGTCTACCATTGGAGCATTGTTATTCCTCTTGCTTGAGAAAGCTAATTAGGCTAAACGAGCTACTAGCTTGAGCAAAAGAATTATTAATTATAGTATTATAAATAATAAATAAAGAGGAAAACGTTATAGCTAACCATCGGAGTATATTTCAATTTTGCTACAAATGCTTATGTGACTAGTCAAGCTATGAGGGTAATTAGCTAACCGCCGGAGATGCTCTAAGTAATTGGTCACTACGGACGGTTTTAGTCTGGAAAATTGGTCATTATGACATTTGGTCACTGTAACCGGTCACGTCAGGTAACTATAATTGGTTTGATCAGACAACTGTAACTGATCGGATCGGGTAACTGCAACTAACCGAGTTGGGCAATTGTAACTGATCAACTTAGATAACTATATCTGGTCAAATTATATAATAATAAATGGTGGGATGGATAAAGGTAACTAATCAATTCAATTAATTATAAAATTGTAATCGAGTAAATGTAAAAGGGAATGGTTATAAAACTCAAATCAAATCCCTTGTCCTTGCTGGAATCTGTAGAACGTGGGAAATAGCTTAGAGAGTTTAACCGGAGGTATAAAACTCAAATCAAATCCCTTTTCCTTGTACGTACAAAGTTTAGCCGGAGGGTATTTGGGAAATTTCCTTTCCAGTTTTTTAAAAGAGCTGCTGTATGATCTCTTTTTTTGGAAATCACAAATGTAAATCCTATATTTGTCCAACCTTTTATTTAGTAATATTCATGACCAAACCCCTTTTGTTTAGTAATATCCATAATATTAACTCATGCAATAAAAAGGTCCAATCTGCTTGGCATAACCCGGCAGCACATTGTTGATGTGTTGTGAGCCAAATAGCCAATGTTTCAAGGTTGAAGAATGATTTGTGTTGGTAGATTAATGGCTTGACGCCGATTTATTGATGTGGTTGTGAGCCAATGTTTCAATGTTAATTCAATTTATTGTTTCATTTTGCCTTATTTTATGAGAAGATTCAATTTAGAGATGCTAGAATTGGAAATGGTACTATGTGGTGCTCTATCCTTTGTGTTTTTGGATAATTTACATTTTAAAGCATTCATATGAACCCATTGACTAGTTTACTTTTATAAAATACTGAAATCTCGCTAAAAAGAAACCTAACTAAAATCAATGCTTCTGAATATTCAGCTTCTAGAGTGAGGACAAAGTGCGCGGAAAAGGCTGGTGGCGATTTGTGAGGACAGTACTAGAGGTCCGGAGAGTGGTTTGGAGTAACTACTTCGGGTCCTGTAGGGCCGGGGTGTTACAGGTGGTATCAGAACAACCCTGCGACAGTGTGTTGACCCATTGGATATTGGGCGGGAACTTAGCGGGGGAGGATTCTGGGATTTGATTGAGATTTGAGATTGGTTTATGGGCGCAACGAGGAAGTTGCGTTCCCAAGTGGGGGTAATTGTAACACTTGAGATTTAATTTAAACGGATTAATAGTACTACTCATACCAACAAGGTGCATCTCCTTTTAAGGGAACTCATCAGAGTAGTCTTAGGATGGGTGAGCCCCTGGGAAGTTTCTCAGGGCTCGCACGAGTGAGCACAAAGTGCGCGAAAAAGGCTAGTGGTGGTTTGTGAGGACAGTACTAGAGGTTCAGAGAGTGGTTTGGAGTAACTACCTCGGGTCCTGTGGGGCCGGGGTGTTACACATCCATCCTAAAAGATGTCACTAGAGCAAAGTCTTCTTTTATAAATGATACCAAACTATTTCTGATGTTGAATATGATCTTCTCAGTCTCTATTCTGTGATCCAACTCTTCAACGTGATTCCCAATTAGCCCCAATAACAACTATCCATTTATCCAAGATATAGAACCCGCATACAAAATCCATCCAGACACGATTCTCCTAAACTCAGCCAGTTCTTCTTCATTCAAGTACAATTTAATAGCCTTAACTACTTCTAGCATATTACAATAGCAGTTTACCCTTAATTTCTTCATCTTTGACAAGATGTCGTTGTCACATGATCTCCTTATTGCCTATGAATATTATATTTCAATATTATGATGTACATTCATCATTGCAAGTAAGTAACATGACGGTATATGTAATCTAAGATGGCAAGACCGTTTAGTAGCTGGATTAATTCGTAAACAACACTAAGAATTCATCAATATTTTAAAAACAGACCATGATTAAAATAAATTCTACGAACAACTCATGAAATCTAGAAATATATGAATTCTCTTGACTTGTACATACTATAAAGGAAGTAAATCATGTTTTCATCTGTTTAATCATTAAATAATACACCATATACACATCGAAGTAAAAAAAAAGCCTATCGCACTTGTTCTGTTCAGAATGATACACATGCAAGTAGAAAGTAGGTTGAAAACTTACATTATTAGATCTTTTATCACACATTTTAACCTAGTTTTCGCAAATGTATATCAGAAATATAACAAGACATACCATCTTCGTATTCATGTCGTTTCTTCGTTCCGTATTCGTTGAGTTCAAATCGGACATTGTTGACAAGTAATGACGACAACAATGGTGCTTTCTTCGTCGATTCTTAGTTCTCTGTTCTCAGCGCCTAGCTTTTTCTTCTCCGAGTAGTTGAGTAGAGTTGCTCTACGGAAGTTGATGGTTTCTTCGAGAGTTGGAGAGACTCGAATAACTTCCCAGAGCACGACGAGAGGGGCGCGTTTTTTTGTTATGAGAAATCGTGATACAACGGTTATTCCTTGAGGTTATAATCGGCATTTCGCGTATCATTTGGTCCTAAGGGAATTTGACTTCTGAATTCCTATTTTGGAATTAGTAAAGCTAAATAGTCCCATTTTGGGAAAATTTCCAAATGCCATCAACACAAAGCAACCAGTGACGCACAAAACATATACCTCTCGTCTGGAGCTGAACAAACCATGGCGGCTATGATCAAAACTACGAGTACGGAGTAATTTATTACATATTATACGTACTTTTTCACTCCTTGTATTCAATGTTCTAAAAGGCGTAAGGCGTGTCGAGGCGGCACGATCAAGCCCGAAGCCTTTGAAGCTTAGGTGGGGTTAGGCGAGGCCTAGGCGTCAAAAGGCGTTTTAAATTTTTACTTGTTATTTTCATTTTTCTAGATTTGTTACTTAAGAAATAATGACATACTTATAAGTAAAAGCATAGATGGTGAACAAAAAACTTTAGTCATAATATTATACTCATAGTAACAACCTCTGATAATTACTTTTGATAAAAGCATACATGTGATTCCAATGTAGTGATTACAGTAACAACCTCTGGTAATTACTTTTATGTTCAATTTAGACATTTAAGTGATCATAATATTATACTCATAGTAACTTTAGTCATATTTTTATTAGTAATTTTGTAGTAATATTTTTCAGAAAAAACTTATTACTTAATTGTTAATATGTAAATCTAATATTAGTAATATTACACATAAAAATCACATTTCAACTTTTCAATAGAAATAAGTTTCTCAAAATATGTTTACTTACTACAAAAACAAGAATTGAAAAAGAAGTGGATTAATAAAATAATAATAGTAATATCACCAGTAAATAATAATTATAATAAATTAGCTAATTCATGATGTAGGAAGAAGTGGATAAATATCTTTACAAATTCATAAGTGGAACAACAATGAGTTGACCAATGTAGTAGACTTCGAATCTCCTAGAGGAAAGCCCGGGTGTTATGCTTTTATCCGTGTCATTCATTTCCCACACCGGAAGAAGAGGCAGATCCCACCTTCCGAAAGCCATATAAATAGATAGGTAGTATGTAGTGATGCCTTGCTTATGCATTCGAGGTCCTTGTGTGCCAACAGCGTGATAGGTCATCTCGAAGGGGAGAAAATTCCATTTTGGAGTAGTTTAATAAAATTTCACGCCTTTTTGCACGCATGACAACAATGCGAGGCGTTACATCCGGGCATCACGCCTAGGCTGGACTAGGCGACGCCTTTTTGCGTGTTTTAGAACACTGCTTGTATTTATCAAATTTGAAAAAAGTACTAGTATAATTTATTTATTACTTAAAATCACCAACATCACTGAATGTCAATTTGTCGAATCCTAATTAGTACTGCAATTAATTAATTAATTAATACTCGGTAATTTATTTAGACGGTCATCTGAAAACGTGGGCGGCTGAGATCAGCTGAGAGATTCCGGAAGATCAAGGGTGAGCACTGAAAATCTGAAACAACCACCTCGTTCGAAACCCGATTTGGACGGTCACACCCACCAGAAGTACGAACTGTGTTGAGGAATTAATCAGATCGCAGCTGTTGATTATTCATTCCTCTCGCCCGTTCACTCCCCTCCTTTACCAAAAGGTAATTAATTTATTTGTTTCCGCAAGTACCTGGTCCCTTTTTGGTTCACTGCATTTACCGCTTCTTTGCTTCCGATCTGATTGAGGTTAGCGATCGGTTTAGTTTTCATCTTCGTCAGTTATCTTTTTTTGTTTACTTTTTACGGACGACTAGTTTTATTATTATGGTCTTTAAAGGATCGGTTAGCTGAAATTTCTTCATTATAGAAGTTTGATTCAGATGGCCGAAACCAAACCGGGCATGAGAAAACCAGTTTTCACGAAGGTTGATCAGGTGCGACCAGGAACCAACGGGCACAACCTTGTGGTTAAGGTTGTAAGCTCGACTGTTGTGTCGCCGAAGGGGGGGAGACCAGATGGAACCCGTCAAATGCGGATTGCTGAATCTTTGGTGGGAGATGAAACTGGGACCATTCTCTTCACTTCTCGGAATGAACAAGGTAAGAACTCTTTTCATCGCAATTGATTGGATTATTTTGTCCTTGTTTAGTACACAAGAATGCTGTCACGTTTTCATGAATGTGATAACTATGTTCTACTTCAATTGAATGTGTAGGTTGAGCAAATGTTCTTTGATACGGTCGCCTGTTAGGTTATGTGTTATGTGAACATTCATAACCCACTCATGTAGAAATTTGGTACCATCTATAGGAATGAGGCTAGTGGATGCCCAATTTGATTTTCTCTATTTTCAAGCTACTTTTGCCTTGTGTGGCCGCCCTAAAAACACTCTCAAAGCCACACAACTTACACACACACACACACTCATCGGATCACATCAATGTCACCTTCCAACATACTTTGAGTATCAAACTAGTTGACATGTCACTCCCTTCAAGTTGAGCTTAGTGTGAGGTTGAAATCGAGGACGCTATCCCAAAAGGTCAATTTTATAGGAATTGGTCAATCTTATATGAGAAGTAACAAAGATCCTAGTACAGTAATTTATTAGTTCTTGTTTTACCGGTGTGGAAAAGATTTCAACACCGGCCATTTCATTTGGATCGTGTCGTCATTCATTTACGTTTTCATCAATTTGCCATATTCATCGTCATTTATCACAAGGGGTCCTACCATAGTTGTTGATCGGTTTGATTATGATACCATGTTAAGATTCGATATTCCATTCTAAAAGATCTTAGTATAATAATTCATTAATTATTTTTTACCTCTGGGAAATACTTCAACAATGGGTGGTGGGTAGGGAGGATAATTCGTGCAACTTTTGAGTGTGTCTTTTGTTTTCAAGTACGACAAGATTAGCCAAAAAAATCACCCTAGATCTCTACTGACATTGTTTCTATATGGTTAAGAGACCACTTACCACCCTCAACGAATAGTCTGAAGTTTGAGCTTTTATAAGACATTTTTGTTTTCTCAGTTTGCATTATTGAAAATATTCTCTTTTTGGTACATTCTAAAATATGAACTGCCTTTTTACCAATATTAGTGTTTTTCCATTGGATAGTGGATGTGGTGTGGTGAGTTCACCCTGCCATGTGTTGTAAACATTCCCTTCGATAATACTTCAGAGTTTTAGATTGCAAACTTTTTTTCCCCTGTGCTTTTTGTTTCTGTAAGTTTGCATGAAGAAGATGCATTGATTCCAGATTGAGGGACACTGTGTTGAGGAGCTAATTAGACCTTTTTTTTTTTTTGAATGCATTGATGCAGTGGATTTAATGAAGGAGGGCACTACTTTAATAGTGAGAAATGCTAAAATTGACATGTTTAAGGGGTCGATGAGGCTTGCAGTGGACAAGTGGGGACGCATTGAAGAGGCAGAGCCAGCGGATTTCACCGTTAAAGAAGACAACAACCTTTCGCTCATTGAATATGAGTTGGTCAATGTTCACGAGAAATAATTATCTGGGGAATTTTTTTCTTTTCAAGATCTCTGGGGCCACCTCATATGAATCTGGCAAGAAATCTCACTATGACTGAAGTTTTCATTTAGGAAGACAAAAAATGTTATGGATAAAAATTATATTGAAAGAGGTTTCAGTGTGGCTTACTACTACTTCTAAGCACAACTGCTCGGCCACCAGCGTTGCAATAAATGAAGTATGTCAAGGCATGGAATGCTCAGATTTGAGTGTTTACATACATATAATGTAATGCAGCATAAATTGGATTCGAGAGATTTTGGCAATGTAGTTCCTTGGTGGTTTGATTGAAGTGCTATGTTAATTTGAAGTTTATGATCTGATCGCTCAATTTTTTAGTAAATCTTAAATTCAAACATTTTCACTAGTGTTGGCTCCTTCTGGTGCAGTATGACAGGGGTTTTCCACCGCACTGCTTTAGGTTTTTTCTCTTGTCGTTTTGAACATTTTAAAAATGAAATCTATCATTTTTTCATGTTTGCAAAATGTATTAGTGTGACAGTGTTTCAAATTTCACAAATACTGCAGATTCAAGAAAATCCGATCACTGTAGTGAGTAGCCTCCAAACCGCAGTTTTGCACTGCATTTGCATAGCATGCACTGATGCACACAGCCTTCACTCTAACCAAAACACTTGGCATTTAGACTCACATCATTAGGCAACTCAATTCTCAAATTGTCTTGTGTGTGTGTGTGTGTGGGGGTCTATGGCTTTGTGTTTGGATTGGTGCCCATTGTCGTGAGAAAGAAATGACTTTAATTAAATTTTTGTTTTTAGTCGCCAAAACTTAACCGGATCTTTGCCCGGGAAGATAACCGGAGTATAATGGGGTCGTCTAGTTGCACTAGGCATTGCTTCCACCAATGTGTGTATCCCTCTCACATGCTTTTCCAACTATGGCCGCAAGGTTGCAAGCCTGGAAGACTTCCCCCTTCATTTTTGCAGCCCTTTCCTCATGAGTCATGACGATGGAACTTGGCTGTTCAGCTTTTTTTTTTTAAATTTTTTTTAAAGGTCTAGCTGCTTTCTAGTTACTTATGATCACTTTAGGAAGAGTGCCTATGAATTTGGGACTATTTTAAGATTAAGTATATTGGATATTAATATTAGAATTATTCATGTAAAATTTTCATGAATATAATTGATCAAGGAATCTAACAAATAGAAAAACTCACTTTTAACAAACCATCTATCCAAAGATTCAGCTATTTCTACTTGCGTTAATGGCCAGTAATTGGCCACGCAATATTTTTTGCCACTCAGCTAAGCTTCACTGGGTATGGATTGTTTGACAATAGCCAAATTTATTTAATTTTCTTAAAGAATCACTTTCCACACCATAGACAGGAGCTTTGCCGCACTGGAGAAATGCTAATGTTGTTAGAAAGAATCACTTATTAAGGGTTGGTTGGCAAAAGCCAAATCTATTTAATTTTATTGAAGAACAAAACATTTGGTAAAACCTATTTTGGTTAAATAAACTTCTTTGCTTATTTTTTTCTCATATACTGAATTCGCCGCCTCAGAAATTATCTGGCTTAAGTTTTTTTCCATTTAGGTTATGTTTGACACAAAAAAGTCTATAGCTTTTAGCTTCTCTATTATTTTAAAAGTCTCTAAATAATTAAAAAGTCTAGGTTGTGTGTTTGGCCCGTTAACTTATTTGAGAAGTCCGTATCTTTTACGAGACGCTAGGGAGGGTAGCGTTCAACAGGAAGATCTTTTCAGTTTTTTTTATGATTCCTCGTATAACCTTGCGTCCCCACCCCTTCATCTTCTCCGATTTAAAATTTGCTTCACCGTGAATATCCCAAAGTCTGCCATCTGCAGCTACGTTCCAATTTTCTTCATTGTTCTGGGTCTCTTTCTTAAACGCTTCCAGCCATCTATGTTTTTCGCAGATGTGCTTCTTGATTTTTATTGAGTTTTGTTTAACAATTTGTAGCCAAAATTTGTGTGATATTCAAGCTTGGTAAAAATTGTACTCGAAATTGGTTTTAGGTTTGAACTTAATTATTTAATCTACTCCGTATGTTTTTTGGAATTGAAATATATTTCTTGATTTTATTCTTGTATTGAGTATTATCAACAAATACCTTGCCAGCTTTTTGGGTTTTTATTTGATCAATGTCCAGGTTCTATCCATTCATTATAGTGCTGATATTTTAGGGTAATAGTTGTTTTCCCTCATTTTTTCTTGCTTCTTTGGTTAAATACTTCAATACAATGGCCGTATGTTGTTGTATTTTTCACTTCTTTGATTATTATTTTTATTTGATCAATGTCCATGTTTTATTCATTCATTATAGTGTTGATATTACTAGTTTTCTGTCTTTATTTCTCTGGTTTTCCTTGGATATTTGTCTATTTTTCACTTCTGTTTTTTCCTCAACTTTTGTTGTAATTATTTTTTGTGCCGAGTTTTTACCAAGTTTTATTGATGTTATCACCTAATATTTTGCTACTTTTAGTTTCATTTTTCTTTTTGTGTGTGTCAGCTGTTTTGTTATTACCATATGGTTCTTTTACTTGTTTTTATATGTTCCAGTTTTTTCCAGTTTCTTTGTGTACATGTTTTTTGCTTTTTTACCATGTTTTTGTGCAATGCACATCACCAACTCAAAGCACGAAAAATACTGGTTTTTGCTGTGAAATTAGCTATGTGTGTATTCTATTAGCTCATAAATTAATAATATTTGATCAGGTCCTTAATTGTCATTCTATAGTTTCAGCTACTTATAACAGCTAGTTTTGCCAAACATGACTATTTAAAACAGACGACTTTCATTAAACAGCTACGATCTTTTCCATCTGCAAGCTTTTCAGCTCAAAAAAGCTAACAGTTACTATAAAGTCTAAAAAAGGTCTTTTCAGCTTGTCATTCCAAACATAGCCTTAGACTTGTTTCTTTTTTAGAGTCCGTTTCGTAACACTGAAATCAACTAAACCGACGGGTTTTAGTAAAATTGGTGTGCAGTCCTAACTAAAGTTGGTGTATTGACTAAATTATGAAAAAGTTATATTTAGGGGGGTGTATTCAATTGGGACATTTTAAGACTTTTTGGGACTAGGATTTGGCAGGACTTCACAACAAAATACACTAACAAATCTTATTATTAAATCTCACCTATATACGTGAGATTTGGGGAGACTGGTCACGGAAAGCCAAAAATTGCTCTTCAACCATTTTTTCTAGCACGAGAAACCTCCGTGTCAGCCTATTTTGTTCCCAGCCAAAAGAGACCGGAGCAACCATCGTTTTCCAAGCTTTTCTCCCCGTCATGTTTCCTATAAGGCCAAATATTTTGAATTTATCGAATCGTATGAAAAGCTTGACCTCTTTATCTCATCTGCCTATATCCCATTGAAATGGGTCAAACACTAGGAAGTGCTCTCACAGAAGGTGAGTGGAGAGCTGATGGAGTGAAGTAGAGCCGATGCACTGTGCTACTCACAGAAAGGAGCCACTGAACTTTGTATAGAAGAGTCTTTTAAAATGTCTTGAAATGTCTCACACAATTTTGGATTGTCTAGAAAAGTCTTCTAGAATCCTATATGAATACAAATCTCCAATTGTTTCAAAATGTCCCAATTGAATACACCACCCTTAATATATATTTCTAAATAAAATAGAGTAAAGACTAAAGAATAATATATATGACCCTCAACAGTATCTTCAATCAATTCAAGCAAAAAAGTAACTTAACACGACTTTACTTATTTTTGTTATTACATAATTCAGAACACAAAATCAAAAGTTATTTTTAATAAAAAAAAAATCCGATAAAGCTGATAAGCCGAAAAATGAGGTCCCCAATCAGGCTCTCAGAGTAATCCAGGCCATACATAAGTGAACCAAACTATATTTACCATATGTCAGACATTTACCACACTTAACCAGACTATAAAATCTTAATCCAAGTGAAAATATCCTTACAATGGTTATGAACAACTACCATGTACTACGTATCTTATTTGAACTACAATGGGTGGTACCTAAAAGTTTTCTTTCCAGAAAATAAATCTTCCAGTACAAAAAAAAAAAGATTCAAAGGCAAACTAGCCCAAAACCAAACGGGGGCCCTCAAAGTAGAATTGCTTCTTAGCAGTTGACTGGAGCATATCCGAAAATTCCGAATTGAGGAGGAACAAAGTTTTTTGCCAAGAACCAATGACTGTCCATTTGATAATTGACCTTTCAAACATTCAAATCGATCATATCATGGTTCATGCTAACAACCTTATGGAAAGCTATTGAAAACCAAATGGGCGTAACTTGATTCTTCATACAGATCGCTCAACAATTATGGAGTACAAATTCTTGCTCAAATTCACTCATGAAAACCATTGCTTTTCTTAAAATGAGTGTCTTCTTACATCTTGAGCTCAAGTAAAGATCTACTAAAAATTGAGAAAAATTCCGAGAGAACCCAAAGACAGGAACACCTGTCAAGGTTTGTCCTCAGGAGGCATCTCAACTTTGATGTCATGATATCTATATATTAACTTCACTCAGAGCAAGGACTTTGCCATGTAGATAAAACGGAGATAAGACCTCGTAATTGATCAATGAGAAGCTTAATGTATGCATTCTTCTGGACAAGTTCCTGCATTTGAAAAGAAGAGCAATTTCAGATTATAGAGCAACACAAAGGGAAAATAGATGCAATCATAGATTTTAAATAATCAAGGATAAATATACAAAAAACACTCATGTGTAATTCTTGTTATACCTCTTTTGAGACTCATGAGCTTAATCAGTAAATACTACTCAGTACTAGTACTCTAGTAGTATATTATCTCACAGGGTAAGTATAATTTGTTTTAAATGAACTTAAAACAGATGCCGTTTTACCACACCAATAGATTATTGGGGTACTTATGAATTATTTCAAAATTAAGGAGTATTGCACCTACTCAAACATTTCACCACCTTCAACATATTTAGTCATTATAGGCCTTGCCAAACTGGCAGACGTATAATTGGTGTTATAACTATTACGGGTTAGTGTACCTTTTTTAGATTCGAGGCTTTCTCTTCCAATCCTTCAACACCAGATTCATCTACTGGAGATGCTGTACTGGATTCAAATGCTTTCGCCTATTTGCGGAGAAAAATAGAGGTATATAACTTAGCAACATGTTTATATTAACGTCAATAGCAGAGAATTAGATGTTTACCTCCTGTGAATTTGGAATGGCAGCAAGTACCTCACGAAGAGCAGCAATGGAATTTTTATACCGAAATCGAGCTTCCTCCAGAGCTCCATTACCTAGACCAGCACCGACACCACCTGAAACGGATCCTTCAGAGGCAGAATCGCCATTTCCCACGCCGTTCTGTGAGAGGGCATTGGTATTAGCAGAAGCAGTTGGAGAAATTGTACTGTTGCTAGGAGAAGTAATAGACCATAAAGAAGGGTTACAAAGCTCGTCGTTCATTGAAGAGAGAATCTGATATGCGGCTTCGATCGTTTCTTCTAGATGTTTCTGTCCCTCCATTGCTAGCTCTTGTGTCGTTTTGCCGTCCGTCGCTGCGGTGTCTTCCATTTCCGATCACCGGATTCCTGAACCACAAAAACCCTAATTTTGGATGCTGATGAGTAGGGAGATTTTTTTTTTATCGTGAGTAGGGAGATTTTTTTTTTTATCGTGAGTAGGGAGATTATTTAAATCGGTACCAATATATTTTGCTACAATTTTGAACCATTATTGCAATCAAATACTCCGCAATTGCCATCTCAATTTTCTTTATCGAATGTCCAAATTGAACGTTTTGCCCGTCCGTCTCATGATAAAAACATGTGTAGCCAATAATGTTGGTTTTAACATTAAACACATATCATAGATTAGAAAGAATTTCCAAAAAATGAATATAGACATGTACCTAGTAAAATTTACTCTCTTCGCCCCTTAAAAGTTTATCAACTTTTCGTTTTTAATTGTCTCATTAACGTTGTCATTTTTCCTTTAAATTGAAGATTTTATGGTTTTAGTTAATTCTCTTTTCTGTGCACAAATCTGAACCACACAATTTTTACCTTATTAATTCTTGTGCCGGTGAAACTTGACAAAGAAGTTTTAAGGGACCGAGAGAGTATCGTTTTTCATTTTTTATTCAAGTGTTATCATTTTGCTATTTAATCAATTAATCTGCATAGTGTTTCTTTCTCTTCTTTCAATTAATCATACAATTTTCTATTTTCTCATTATCTATGTCAATCGAACTTGATAAAGTTTTAATAGACGGAAGAAGTATTCTACGATTCAAATTTCAATAACAGTTCATACTTTTCAAGCATTTTTATTATTATTATTAATTTTTGCATTATTATTATTATTTTTTATTATTATTATTATTATTATTATTATTATTATTATTATTATTATTATTATTATTATTATTATTATTATTATTATTATTATTATTATTATTATTATTATTATTATTATTATTATTATTATTATTATTATTATACTCCATGACATCTATTACATGACGAAAATAGTATTTGTTATTCTTGTCGTCCCACTGAGATTGTCTAATCTTTCCTTTTCAATCCGTCCTATTAGTATTTATGACATCTATTTTCGTCATGTATTAAATGTCTCATGCCAATTTAGAAAAATTTGTGTGACTCTACATCATCCTTATTCAATTCTTATTTTATCAATTAATATCAATCACATAACTCACTTTTCTTAATAATTGCGTCACCTTCTCTTATCTCATTGTTACTGGGACAATGGTAGTATCAAGCAAAATATATAAACATTTTACATTACATATGTATAAAAACGTTTTTTAAGTCAATATAAGTTTATATTTAGATATCCTTTAAAAACTATAAAATTATATGGCATTTAACAAAAATGCCCGCATTGCGGCATTGATCTAACAATGATCAATTTAAAATTCAAAAAAACTTGTAATGAAATGCTCTCTTGGTATACTAATAATTAAACATGGACATGTATAGTAACACTAAAATTGGTCGAAATTTATGATTTTTTTGCTGAAATGGTTGAATTTATTGAATCTGCTGAATTAAGCAAAAAAAAATCAAAATATTTATTAAAAAAATTACAAGAAAAAATCATCAACTTTGTCCTCTATAGTGACTTCAGTCAATTTACTCAGAAAAGTAATATTAACCTTACTTAATTTTACTTAATTTAGTCAAAAGCTACATGTTTTATAAAATAAGTGACTAATATAACTGATAAGATTAAAACATGGGTTACTAAATGGGTTTGAAGTTTCTACATGGCGTTTAGGGGAAAAAGTTGGGTATATGGAGTGATGATACCGTGGGCAATATCAAAATTTCCCCCTTGTTTTAGAACGTATAATTCTCCTAAAAAAAACTAGTACTGTACTCCGTAAGAGACATCTTTAGTAAGGTTGATAACAAAGACATTATGAAGAGATGTGTATATGTACTCGGTTTATACATTGCTGTTCATCTTGTAGCTAGCCAGACATGCCAAAAGACTGGCCGAGTGTGGGATATCCCCAGAAGAGAACATGAAAAATTCTCAGAACTGAAGAGTGCAAGACAAAACGACGAATCGAATCATCAACTCAACTAGACCGATACAGAGATGCAAACAAAAAACCGTCCGGAAACCCAATGGTCAAACCACATTCTGGCCATCTTCATTCTGGTCATCCACATTGTGGATGGCATCTTCACGCCTTGGACCATTGCCATAAAAGAGTTTGAGCAAAATCTGCAAGAAGGATAGGATGGTTCCCACACCATTGCTCACCTGCACTTTATATTCCATCAATTAATCACTAATGTAGAAATCATATGCTGCCCAGAGGATTCCATTAGCAAAGCCGTATTAAATAAAACTTACTAAGATAAATACGTCAAATCTAATGCAAGCATATGCTGCCCAGAGGATTCCATTAGCAAAGCCTGAAGCAATGAGCCAACCCGGCAAGTACTTCGCACTCCTGCTTCTGATCACAGTCAGCTGCATTACATTACATATACACAGACGACGTTGGCTTTATACACCAATTTAAATTGAGAGATGGGACGGATCATCAGAATCACTACATTATTATTAATATCAATATTTATATACTTCGTATATGGTCTTCGAACAAACTAATTCAGGAGCTAAGATTATTCGTACCATGACGGAAAGAGGCGACGCGTACAAAATGATCCCGAAGACCACACACAATGATCCCACGATTTTGGTTCTCTTCTCTAAGGTGTGCGCACCCAGGAGGGTCCCAGCAACTATCCCAGAAAGCAAAATCAGTTGAATAAGGAACAAGCCCACCATTCTCGCCTGGAAGATAAACCATTCAAATTTCATGTCCAATTTAGAAAACGTCGTATGTACTGGAAGGAAAGTTAAATAGGTGTTATTACCCGTGTTCTTGAATTGTTGAAGTACAAAAAGACGAGCAGATAGAAGAGCTCCAAGACGATGCCTGCCGCGTTTATGGTCATGACGAGAGTGCTGTGTCGATGGACGAACGGCATGGCATAGAACACCCACATTAAGCAGTTCATCAGCGCCGCGTGGTACGGCCATGGGTGGAAGCCTTCCACTGATTTGTTTTTTATGATTCTGTAAACCGTTGGTCTGCATAATAACGCACGCTGTAAATTGAATTAGAGATTCATTGGGGCACCCTCTCCAGATATTTTCAGAGCAGAGCGCAACTAATTAATACTGCAATTGCGAGCTTAACTAAAACAAGTTACAAATATTTTATTTCCACTGCTCCAATTGAATTTACACACCCGGCAGATGCATAACAGAAATTCAATGTATAAACTCGATAATGATATTGTCAGGGACAGAGCAATTATACGCATTCAATATATGTGCTAGAGAGAGAGAGATTACGCTGGTGAAATAAACAGAGCTGCGGAAACAATGTTCCCTGTGGCAAGAAGCAACAGAGTTTAGCAGAGAATGTAAACTTATCAGGAAAACTCTCACACACATACAGATCTAGAACTTTGAAATTCTATATATCGATCTAAATCTCCGCGTTAATATATAACCAGCACGGAATATACTACTATATATAGCAATTAGTACATTACATTTATATTGCTAGCGCAAATCCTATTCGATCATATATCAACAATCAACCTTCAATCTAAGCAACAACCAAATTGTGAGCCAAATTGTCTTCGCTGCCAACCATTTTCGGTCAAAATGAGTGCAACATACATCAAAAACTTGTTCGCAGTGCTAGCAAACTCTGTTCAGCCACAAGCGGATAGCTAGATCGATAGAAATAAAAATCACGTTTTAACCAGAACTAGAGCACGCTCTAATCAGCTAGCCAGAATGTCTGATCAAATCTCATATCAAAGTTTCAGTCAAATTTTAGTCAAACAGCGGCCAGCAGCTGTATCTCAGCATCAAAGTTTAAGCTAATACATCGATCAATATCAGTTGTGTTACACAGATATATAGGAAGCATTCATGCCAGGCGAGATAAATACATATAAACACACACCGCATTTAAAAGAGATTTAGGGAGAAAGACAGGATTGAAGAGATGACCGATGATGCCGATGACTGTGCGGAGGACAAGGAGGCGGTGATTCATTGCAGCTGGCCGGAGAGGGAGGAGTCAAGCCGGAAATACGCTACTTAACGTGCCGGAGCAAATGAGATTGCTAGTCATGTATAAAATGAAGGGAAGTTTGCGGGAATATAATAATTCTTCTAATTTTAATGGAATAGGAAACCGTTCCGTGGATATATACATACAATAATATTGCATGAGTGTGTGTATGTATATTGAGTCTGTTATGAGGGGTATGGTATTGGCACTCCGTTGCGCTCAAAATTACGGCGACTGCCCCTCGTGATTTCTCGCAACCGCCAAAAATATATGGCCGTTGTGGATAACGGCCGCGCACATCTGCAGCTAGCTCTCAGATTGTAATATGGACGGCTGGGATGTGCTAAATGGATGGAAATACTCCGGCCAAGTAATGGACATTATTGCGGAATGTATGACATCTACCAGCGTGACATAAAGACGTAGGCACTTGTCTTTGTAAATTGTAATGGGCGAATTACATTTGAAGGATTTCATTATTATTATTGTAGTATTTGAGGTTAAAATTTCTAAAATAGCTAGTAGATTCTGCAGCTTGGTAGTAAGGTACTAAAATAATTTTGTTTGTTATTTGAATATAATATTATTAATGTTGTTGTTGTACTTGAGGTATACTGTATAGGCGTATACTATTACAATTAGTGGTGAAAAAATTCATTCTAAGCACTTGTTATCATTCAACTTCTCAGTGCTTAAAGGTAAAAACAGTTTTTTTTTTAAAGAAGATTGTCAAATTAATCTAGGTAGTACTCCCTGTGCTTCATTAATTCTATAGGTTTGGACATGAGTTTTAAGTGAATAATAGTAGCAATAGTATAGAGTGTGAATGGTAAATGAAAAGTAGAAAAGAATATATTAGGAAGAGTAAAGTGATAATTAAGTAGGAAAAAATGAAGCACTATGTAAGAAGTAAAAGAAGAAAAAGCAATCAAAGTTAGAATGTGTAGGTATATTTATCTAATTAAAAAACTTTCCTAAAATGGAATGAAGGACAATTAATAAAAACAGATCAAATTGGAATAAAAGTGGAATAAAAAGCAGATCAAAATGACAGTTATTGAAAAAAAAAACGGATGAAGTATATAAAAGGGAGAATTGTTAGATTAATT